ATAAATTCAGAGATCTCTTTACTTTAGCCTAGATTGACCTTAAGCTTTCCCTTGGTTCATTTCCAGATTGCGGAACATCCGTTGGTCCATGTACTTCTGTTTGTTCCTGTTTTCGTCATGGCTCATTATCAAGAGGTTTCCGGCCGCACAAACCGCTTGGGCCCAGTGCTTATCCGGTGTTCACAAGCTGGCGATGGCTCTGGAACCGTTCAAGCTCTCTAACTGAATGTCCCCACGTGTAGCTTGAAGTAATGTAAAGCACTTGAAATTCAAGAAGGATAATTGTTGTGCCTTTTCATGAATGTTTCATGATATAGGGCTTTGTAGGCCATATATCGCACAACGTAATGTACGTTTCCCCGAGACAAAAAAATTGTAGTGTTTAGATAACTTCTGAAATTTAAAATCTAAAATTGACTTGTACTTATTTAAGATTTCGTGGTAGATAGATTCGTTAAGTTGCTGATTGTTATAACAGGGCTAAACGTCCTTTGTTAGGTACGACTCTTGTAAAATTGATTCTACAATAGATCTTAGAAATGGTATGTTAAGACTGAGGATAATTTTGTGTAGTGGGACTGCATTGGCATCGAATGATCCTGGTACACATGCCATGAATTCCTCTTGACTCTGACGGGGCTTCTTCAGGAAGATAATAGTGATTTGAATTGTAATTGTATTGTAGGTATTTAACACGTATAATTAACATTATGAAAATCGACGTATTTTTGTGATTACTGAAATAAGATATGTGAATTATTTTTTTGCCATAAAATGTAACGAGATCGAGAATTCTCACAACACGTGGCCCGTACGTAGTTATAAGTTTTGCCTTATGCAAAACTCTTGTTCTAGAACAAACAGGTTTATTTCTGTAAAGGAGGTTTTCAAGTCTCAACAACTGTATCACATATTGCCTAGTCAGTAGGCATTTAAAGTCGATTTAAAGGTCATCGACTCTCCGAGGGTTTTCAAATTACTGTTAAGAGAACAAACACACAATTGAAAACTCACTGGTTAATGTTAATGCTGGTTACGTGATAACTAATCCATGGAAAGAAATAGTTGTCTCTTCGATTTATAAAATAGAGTGTGAACTTAAAAGAGTAAATAAATAAGTGTCACTTAGAACAAATAGTTACGTTATCATATTCCAGGCGTGTGAGTCACGGAAAGACTCGAGCCATAAATGAAAATTACCAATTACCTTCGAAAAATAAAGGCTCTCATTATCAACAATCTTTGAAAAAAAGAAGCTCTTATTAGCAATTACCTTTGAAAAAAAAAAGCTCTTATTAAATAACAAAAAAACTACAATTTCCTCGATTGTGATTGGTTTAATTCCATTAATTCGTTTGCCAATTTGATATGGACAGTTCAATAAGCCAATCACATTAAAAGTTGTAATTTTAGCCAAAAAATCACATTTGTAGTTTAAATCAACCAATCGCAATTTAGGCCTCCATTGTCCGTCTTCTAATGCAAATTTTCCCTTTCTTTCATAACTTGGCTATTCTGCTTTTCTCGCAAACAGTAATTTTTATGATTAATAATGGTAAAAGGACTGAGTTGAGTCCAATTCGGTCTGTAATCACACAAGCGATTAACAAGCGGGAGTCCGATTTGTTAATAGCTCGTATGATTACGGATAGAGTTGGACGACACGATGTCCTGTTACCAATTAATCAAAACTACGACAAAATTTGAGAAAGAAACTAGACATCGGTCATGCGTTTTCATATAAAAGAAAGCAATAACAGTTAACTCGGCGGAATTCGGGACAACAGGGCGCGCATGACGCGTTCTGTCCACTTACACAGGGTTAACGTGTTAACTACCCCTTTAACTGTCCAATTACAAGCACGACGCGTACAGTGTCCTATCCCCTATTAGTGCTCAAATCGGGCTGTTGATGACCAATCACGTTCGAGAATTCTGTTATAGTTTTGATTAATTGGTAAGAAGACTTCGCGGTCGTTCGATTTTGTTATCATTTGTATGATTACAGACCGACTTGGACTCAACTCAGTCCTTCTACCATTACATATTGGATGGAAAACAAAAAAACGTGCGAAAGGCCATATTCATTACTTTAAAACAGAACGACTGTTATTAACTCTACTGTTATCTAAATCCAGTGCTACATGCGTCAGTATTTCGAAAAATAGGTAACTGTTCTTTCTATCTAGTCTGTCACACTCACGTCACTGTTTAGGGGCCGGGGGGGGAGGATTAACTAACTAACTGAACACACGTGTAATGCTATCGGCGACATTATTCTCAGACACTCCAGTTGATATTATATACTTAAAGTATAGTCCTGAGGGAAACAAAAGTAACTAGTTTCCCGTGGGACCATACATTAAGAGCTTTGTCATACATTTAGACTTTCTCTTAAACAATCATGTGCTCTTGTATTAGGCATGCGGGCAACAACTACGCATTGTATCCCGGTCGGGATACATTTGAATTTGATCAGGGGCACGTAACCAAGAATCAACCAATCACAGTTCTCGTTTTGTTGAGAGAAAGTCTAGGTATATAACAATACTGGTTACTCTTGTCGTTATTCACTGCCCTACACAACATAGATAGGAAGAGAAGGGCTTGGCTTGGCCTGCGTAAAATGCTTTGCCGTTTCATTGCACCCAAACGAGAATAACGTCAGCCGCGCGAAGGCGTGGATTGAAAGCGAAGAGCCCTCTCCCTTTTCGTCATCTTTTAGCTGGTTTTCGCCCCAAGCCCTCGCACAGCTCATGTCTCCCCCACTTGGATAAAAGGAAAAGGATAGGCTTCCTACACTTGCCACACAGGCTTTCTCGACATTAATGGTTATGATTGAGCTTGGGATCAGAATGAATGAAAAACTCATTTCTTCATTGTTTATCCCTTGTAGTTAAATCGATAAGAAGACAATAACATTTTTGTCTTAGCTGTTTCACTAATAAAAACCAATTCCAGGTAAAAACTGGACATTCTCTTCATCTTTGTCTTCCTTTTCGGAAACATCACTTTTGAGGTCGGCTTGCATAGGCTCATCGCTTTGTGGCTCTGCCATCTCGTCGTCCTTTTCCGGGCCATTATAACCTTCATTCTGCGCGTTAAATGTCTGTGTAACGAAAACAAAGCAAGGCAACGGGTGAGAAACTGAAGAGAAAAATCAGAAAAAATCACCAATACATTTACATTTTACCTCTTTTTGCATTTTCTCGATGTAATATACGTCTTTTCATTTACCTTATGTAAAGATTTCCTTGGTTTCCCACAATAAAGCATCGAGGAAATATCTCTCATAATCCAAGGAAACCGGCCAAAAAATATCGTAAGAGTAGATAAAAATTCACT